TTCTAATTGTAAGGAAATTGAAGAAAAATATAAAAAAAACGCGATATACAATTATGCCGACGTCTTTTCACGTAGTTCACTTGAAGAATCAACGACAGGAATCATATGTGTTGGCTAATGGACAAGCTAAACTTTATCCTGCATGGTGGGAAGTCGATAAGGTTAGTATTTATTTGTTTAAATATTTTAAAGGTGTTCATAAATAAGTGCGCAATTTGAATTATTACATTTCGATGCAGGTGTTTATCCCTGTTTTGGAACGTACTCATTGACTTCTCGTCGAGCTTCAGCTCCCATCCCTAAAGACAATAGTATATGACAACATGGTAAATTACATATCATTGTCTGATTTGAGAGATATTATTAAGGGATGGAGCTCTCATTTGGCTAAATTCTTGGATGCAATTAATTATTGGATTAATTCTGGAAACAAGAAGCCAAAGAAGTTCAATGTTACAGTTATCAGAGACGAGACCGCGCCACAACAAACGAAGGAAGCCAGAAGGGATTGTGGTCCTCTGGTATGCATGTGCTTGGACAGTTTGACGACAGTAAGTACACAGTTTCTACCTCCCACCGATAGAGATAGAGGTGCAGTAGGCTTGTGGTTTCGGCATTTTATGGCTAGAACGATATATGCGAGACGCTGCCTACCTGCATCCGCGTTATGAAAGTGTCCATAAACAATTTGTAAGTCAAATGCAAGTGTTGTTAAACATATATACTCTTTTTGGTTTGAAAATATTTGGTTAAGTAGCTAGAATTCAATAATTTGCTGTTTGTACGTTTTAGATGTGTAGAAAGTGTTATTGATTCAATGTTTGGTTTCTGCAGGTTAATCCTGAAGTGAGCTGCGTGAAATGGATGTATGGGTGTAAAAGATGATTTGTAAATGTTGATTTGTTTAATTGATGTGTACATAATTATTATTTGTGCTTGTTTAATTGATTGAAATGTAATAGTTGATTTGTTGATTTCAATCTGCATTATGTTGAATGCAAAACAGACTATCGCAACGCGGAAATGACTATCACAACGAGAGAATCGCAATGCGAAATGAAAATCGCAACGAGAGAATCGCAATGCGAAAATGAAAATCGCAACGCGAAACTAAATTCGCGTTGCGATTTTCATTTTCGCATTGCGATTCTCTCGTTGCGATTTTCATGTCGCATTACGATTCTCTCGTTGCGATAGTCATTTCCGCGTTGCTATAGTCAATTCCGCGTTGCGATAGTCATTTCCGTGTTGCGATAGTCATATTCGCGTTGCGATTTCCGCGTTGCGATAGTCAAATGAATGTCTAATAAGTGATAACAACTGAATATCATAGCAATGTTCAAACTCAAGTTACTAATACATGCCTAATTGAAAATGTTAAAAGTTCACATAATATACATAATACAACGTTTGCATTTAAAAATCACCTAAGTTAACAGTCCCAAAAGGTGAAGCCGGTTGTGATTGGGATTTTGATGAGGATCCATATTTTGGTAGAGGAAAAGATGATTGTGATGGCACTGGTGATCCACATGTCAACCTTGTATGACCACTTTCCTTGCACCGACTATATGTCGATCTCTTCTTCTCTTCACCCTTAGACGGTATACGATCGTGACTTTTTGGTCGGCCAGGTAACCTTCTGTCCATGGCTGGTGGCAAAACTGTTTGTAAGTCATCTGGTATGTCCCACTCAGAAGGATGTGGAATAGGGTAGACAATCTCGACATAAGTCTGTCGATATACTTCTGTAGTGTAGCAATCCATAGCGTATGCGCTTGAATCATCTTGGTTTAAATGAAGAGCAACTTTATAACATGGCCACAGGATAACCAGATGTTTGCCATTTCATACAACTACACGTCTTTGCATTTAGATCGACAAGCCCATTTAAGTTATTATCCAGTACTTCAAACAAAGTGTTTGAAATGGTTCAACTCTCCATGACGTTGACTTCACAACACGTTTCGTTATCTTTTTTCAGTCCATGGTGTAACACGATGTTCCAATGTTCCTGTAAATTTAAATAAATAATACTTAGTAAAATATATGATAAGTTACGAATTTAAAGAAATAATACCTGCATGGTTTCTTTTCTTGTAGTACCACTGTTGAATAGAGGCTCGAAAAAACTCCATTAACATAGTAATGGGTAATTTTCGGGAATGACGACTTAGAGCGTTGATTGATTCTGCACTATTAGACGTCATGAAACCATATCTTGCTCCAAGTTGATGTACTCTTGACCATCTTTCAAACCTGGCATCTTCTAGTGTTTGAGCACACTGAGGCAAAACACGTCTTAAACAATTTATATGCTTATTAAAATCCACTTCCCGATAAGCTTTTACAGCCTTCCAGTATGTCCATTTGTGATTTTTTATACCAGCAGACCTTGATTTTAGATTTCTATACAAATGAACACCACAAAGTCCATGAAAAGCATCTGGGAAACACCTTCTAACAGCGTTGTCAATTGAGTTTGCCCTATCGGATATGATTGTCAGATTGCTAATAGGACCTATGCAATCCCTAAGATGCCCCATATCCATGAATCAGAGGTTTCAGATTTGCCAACCCCGTAAGCTATTGGTAGTATCCCATTGTTAGCATCAATGGATACTGCTAATAAGTTTACTCCAAGGTATCGACCTTTTAAATGTGCTCCGTCAACTATAATAACTGGGCGCATGCAAGTAATAAACGAACGAATCTACAAAATCATATACACAAGAAATATAATCATTTAAATGTGAAATGCATGTAACTAACAAAAATGAGTCAACAAAATTATATTGATTTACTAACCGTAGCACCAACGGCGATAAACAGCAACTCAAAGCGTCCATCTCTATCTGTTTTGATATGAGTTACCGACCCAGGACTTTTCAGCTTTAAATTGTGACAATAAGCCGGCAGTTGGACAAACGATGCTTCTGGCGACCCCCTCAACAATTCCAAGGCATAACATTTGGCTCTCCAAGCTTGAGAATATGAGATACTAATCTTGAACCGAGCATTCATGTCAGTCATAATTTCATGTCCCCGATATACACTGCCATTCAAAAACATTAACTCAGCCATAAAACCACCCAACACCTTTTTGTTTGCTTGTCTATGGTGAGGAAAAACTTGGGTTCTTGAACATGTATGTTTATCAATAAAAGTCCTAACTTGAAACATTTCGCAATCTTTTATCCTCTTTGCAATCATACGCCACGTACAGTTTTTGTCAATCATACACCTTGTTTCGAAACGATCTTTGCTTGATTTGTTAACTTTTAGTTGATAGCCATCTTCCATACATTTCGTATACAAAACTATCTTCAAGTCTTCCTTTGTATCAAAACAATCATCTTTCTTGATACGAATAATTTTTGTGTAACAATCAACTGCTATCTTTACCAACTCTTCTTCCGGCATCTGAGGTAATTCTGGCATATTCCAGTTATACTCCCGTGGCATTTTCTTCGGGGACTTTTCTTTGGGGATTTCTTCTTCTTCTTCTTCTTCAGGGTTATATGAATTACAGAATGGATGTTCAACATGTTCATTTACAGTCGTAACTTCCTCCTCATTATCATCAACATCTTCCTCGGCAATGGCTGTTTCATCATCAAAATTCGGGTATTGACCAATATCAAAATCATTACACGCAGGGTCTGTTTCTTCTTCTGAAAAATCATCAAAATCCGAGTATTGACCAAGATCAAAGTCCGGGTATTGACCAAGATCAAATTTCGAATACTGACTAGTACTCATAATTTTTTATGTTGGCTCATCATCGTCTAACTGGTCAATACGAAAACCGGAATTTGGTGCTGAAAGTTGATTGGGATTTGGATTAGGGAAAGGTTGTGGGTTTTGAGATTGTGTTTGGTATTGGAAATGTGGTGAAACAATATTTGCTTGGTGATGAAATTGTGGTGGAACCATTAAATTTTGAGCACCATAAACTGGGGTTGAAAAACTTAGTTGATTACTACCCGCTACTGACCTAACTTCACTACTTCTAGGTTCAACAACATACAATGTAACATAATCACTTGAAACACTAATGTAAGCAATGAATCATTCAACATCTTCATTGTCGGTTAACAAATAAACTTTACCATTTCTCTGATAAGATAGCCTAAATCCACTTAAGGGCTCTAAATTCAATTTATTTGCAACACGTAACATTAGAGTTTCATAAGTTAACTTTTTTAATGATAGTTTTAGTTGAAGATTCATGGGTAAAGGCATATATTGTAAAACACCATGAACATTCTCCCATGACCCTCCAAAACACAAATCTATCCAAACATGATCAACATTAGATGATTTCATTATTGTAAATTAATTTACTAAACAAACGAGCTGCGAAACTAAAACTTGTTGCCGGATAGGGAAGGATGTCGTTGGATATAGGAACGGATGTCGCCGGAAAGAGTGATAGATGGAGATGGAATGAGTTGCAATTTAAGGATTTAGGTTATGAGTTGCTGCTGCTGCGTAGTTATATACCCAAAACATTTGTGTTGCGAAACTAAAACCTGTTGCGAATTCAAAAATCGAGTTGCGAATTTGAAATTCAGTATTGCGATAGTCAGAATCGCGTTGCGATAGTCAGAATCTCGTTGCAATAGTCAGAATCTCGTTGCGATAGTCAGAATCTCGTTGCGATAGTCAGATTCGCGTTGTGATTTACGTATTCGCATTGCGATTTACGTATTCGCATTGCGATTTAAGTATTCGCATTGCGATTTACGTATTCGCATTGCGATTTACGTATTCGCATTGCGAATTAGGAAAATCGCAATGCGATAGTCAGAATCGCGTTGCGAATCTGGAAACTGATTTGCGATTCCGGAGATCGCGTTGCGAATTATCGATCGCATTGCGATTTAGTTGGTCATTTTGGCAAATCCAAAGAAAGTTTGTTAAAATCGTATATTATAAGGCATTTTTGGTCACTGAGGTTATTTTCTATATATATATATATATGGAGCTCGAAACTATTCGTTATACAATTAAAAACGCTTCATTTGAAACTCAACAATGGCTGCCAAACGCCTTATCTTCTTGTTTTTCAGCTTCCCTTTTCTTCTTCAGTTTCACTTCGCCGCCGGTCAGAATTCCGTTAAAGCCGCGTACTGGTCCGCCGGCAGCGAATATCCCGTTTCCAGCATAAATTCCACCCTTTTCACTCACCTTTTCTGCGCATTTGCCGACCTTAATTCTCAAACCAATCAAGTCACGGTTGCTCCGGCGAACCAGGCCCGATTCTCCTCATTCACTTCAACAGTCCGGTCGAAAAACCCTAACGTCAGAACCCTTCTTTCGATCGGCGGGGGGAGTTCATCACCGGCGGCTTTCGCTTCCATGGCAAGCCAAGCTAGTTCCCGGAAATCCTTCATCGATTCCTCCATAAATATTGCTCGATCGTACAATTTCCATGGACTCGACCTTGATTGGGAATACCCATCAACGCCAACCGAAATGAACAACTTGGGTTTGCTTCTCAATGAATGGAGAACCGCCGTTAACAACGAAGCCGCCCGTACCGGTACACTGAGATTGCTTCTCTCCGCAGCATTTTTTCGCAACTCGGATTATTATACTCTTGTTTACCCGATCACGGCTATAAGAAACAGCCTGGATTGGATCAATGTAATGGCTTACGATTTTTACGGTCCGGGATGGTCAAACGTGACCGGACCCCCGGCAGCGTTATACAATCCGGGCACTCAAGTCAGTGGAAATTATGGGATCCGATCATGGATCTGTTCTGGGATTCCGGAAAATAAACTAGTTTTGGGCTTTCCCTTTTACGGCTATGCATGGACGCTTGTTAATCCAAATAACAATGGATTCTTTGCGCCGACCACCGGAGCCGCTTTAACGCCAGGAGGAGACGTCGGTTACGGTCAAATCAGGAGTTTTATAGCGCAGAACAACGCCACTGAGGTTTACAATGAGACGGTAGTTTCGAATTATTGCTTCAAGGGGACGACGTGGATTGGTTATGATGATACACAGAGCATAAGGGCAAAGGTTACTTATTGTAAGCAAAATACGTTGCTTGGTTACTTTGCATGGCATGTTGGTGCTGATGACAATTGGATTCTCTCTCGAACAGGTCAGTGAATGGTTTATGCATGATACCAAAATTAACTCCAAACATTGATCAGATTAGTTATTTTAATTCATATTATTTTTTAAAAGTATTATAACTCTTATCTTTTCATTTTAAGACATAAAAATCTCTCCGTAAATAAAGACAATTAGTTAACAAACTACTAATACTTTAAAATATGAACTTTTTACTTTAAAATGAATGTTGGGGACAGAAATGATTCAAAATATTAGAATAAAGATTAAAATGATTATTTAATCAAACATTAGGAGCATTTATATCCTAAAATTAGACGTTGTGAGTTGAAATGCCCAAAATAAGAGAATAGTAGTCAAAATAATTATTTTTATAAATATTGGGAGACTTATTTTGGAACTAGACAAATGATTTAATATCCTCACTTTTCTTTATCTAAATCATACGCATGTATCCACTTAATTATGAACTATTTTTATTTGATCATTAATATTTTGATTTTATAAATTAAATTATTTTATTATTTAAATAATATCAATTAAGTTACATGTCATTAACATTTAACGAAAAAATTAACATGATAGTTAATAAAATTAGTATAATTACATATTTAATTCTCATTATTTACACATTCTATTAATTGAAAGATTAAAATTATTAGATTAAATTAAAATTATGATTAAATTGATAGAATATGTAAGTAATGACGATTAAATATATAATTATATAAATCTTGTAAACTGCTATGTCAGCTAATCTATCAAAACTCAGTGATCATATTAGAATATTTCTATAATTAAATGATAATGGATATAATTTATCTTATAAATAATTACATTTAACTTTGATTAGAAACTGCAACTAATATGTTCTAAATTCTAAATATTTTAATATTTGTTTGATGAATTTCTTACATCTTTTTTGTCTATGCAGCATCGCAAACTTGGGGTTCCTAGACGTTAATTGCAGGCGATGGAGTATGTAGTGGAATTAATTGCACGTTAGGAGTTAATGAAATAAGAATGGTTGTCACTTTCTGGACAAAACTTTGTTAATTAGTTGCTGATTAATACTTCTAATGAAACTAGTTTACGTGACACATGCTTTATACGTGAATCATCTGATATCCAGTATTTTCCTTCATGTAGTTCATAATGATTTTTTTCTTTTGGCGTATCTATATATTTTTTTATAATGATTGATACTTTACTTATGAATTGATCATCTGGGTAAATAATTCTTATAAAATAAGCCTTGTGAAAATTAATGGGGAAAATATTATCATATTATAATAAAATTTGTTTCTAAAAGTACAATTATTATTGTAATAATAATTGAAAGTAGACTAAAATTAAAATTAATCATTTTAGTTCATGTAAAGATATATTTTAATATTTTATTCAGAAGATATTCAAACTTTAAAATTGATGTTTACTCAAACGAACCAAACGACCTTGTTGGTAAAGAAATTGTTGTTACTCATTGAGGTTCCAACTTCAAGCACCATAAATATTAGGTATACAATGTTTAATGTCAAATAGTTGATAGTTATCTTTAAACAGATAATACTTTATATTTACTTAGATTAATAAAAAAAAAATTTGTTGTATCCTATACTCCTCGTATTAATAAAAAATTGTAATATCATCATTAAACAGCTATTAAACTAATAAGGTAAGTGCATACGTGGGTCAGAAGAAGAATATATAAATTGACTTTTTTGGGGCTGAGTAAAACATCTTGACCTGGACCTTTAATGAGACTACGATCAAATTAACAAGGTAAACTAAAATCATCGTTCAACCTTATCCATGCAATAAGTAGTTATGGTTAGAAGAAGAATATATAAGTTGCTCGGACTTTTTTGGTTATAAGAATTAGGAGACTATAGGCTTATTAGTTGCTCGGACAGTTACTCCAAGTCTGCTTATCAAGTTGAAGAAGCATCTGAATTTCAACTGGTGGGGTTTGCAGCACAGCCAGCCCTACTGGTAACGTACAACCATTCTTGGAGCGTCGGCAACGTCGTTGGCTTTTTGACAGATAACAGAGAAAGTGATTAACCAACCACGATGAAGAAGCTCGCGGATTCTTCGGATTAAAGCCGGTTTATATCTTTGACTTGGAGAATTGAGGATTCTGATTGCTTCCGCGTTATCCATCTCGACCTTGACATATCTAGCACCATGATTCTAGGCAACTTGTAAGCCGTTTAACAGAGCCCATAACTCAGCATGAAGAACTGGCATCTCCCAATGTTGCGACTATACCCCACGACCTTATCACCGCCATTGTTTTCGAATACTCCACCCCCTGTCGCTTCCATAGACGACTAGTTTACGGCATCGTTTGTATTAAGTTTGACATCTCCAGTTTTGGGAGGCTTCTAAGCCTGACTCCTTGTTGAACGTTTAGGACACAAAGTGCAATTCATGGGGTTGGTACAGATCAATTGTAGGAACGCGCCGAATGGATTATTATCACCGAAAACCAGCTTTCTACGTTTAAGATGAAGCTACACTGTTGTTTTCGTAGCCTCCATATCATGATTCCAAATTGGTGCCCCCACCGATAATCCTCACAATCAGCCCCTGTAAAGGTGATGGGATTAAATTTTAACCAATCAAAGAGTGGAAAGGTAAAGAAACTCCTTATGTGAGTCGGCGTGATCTACAACTAAGAATTTCTGGTAGTGGTGCAATCCAAGAGTGTGGAGGACAGTTTGTTTGCTTTTACCACAGATCGGATAGGCTGGAACCGACGATAACCCACAGTCGGATAAAATTTGACTCGTTGGGCATCATCAAGGCTCCAAGCCAAGTTCTAGATAATGTCTTTCCCGTCCCAGGAACCATGGTGAAGCTCATGATACGCCGACTTGATAGTACAACTTTCAGAGGACTACCAAAGCCAGGTAGGCTGCTTAAGCTTAGCATCTTTATGGTGGAAGGTATGGCAATGATTTCACGGACATGGTCCTCAGTTAAGATTTTGCATCAATAAGTAATACCCCAACTTAATCAAGAAATCTTCATTATGAATCCGAAAGGGGCGCAAGCCCGAACCACCATGAGAAGTAAGTTGATATCACGATTCTCATTTGTCTAAAGCGATTTTAGGAGAATCACTCGTATCACACTATATGAAAATACAAGCGATAATCTCAATTTAATCACACACCCCTTAGGTATGATAACCGTCTACACAAAATAGTATGGGATAGCCATGAGAGTCGATTTGGCAAGCGTGATACGAGCAACCGTGGATAATTTCGAAGTCATCTAGTTACTCATCTTAGTACGAACCTTGTCAATAATGAATTGAAAAGTACTATTCGTGACTTTACTATGAAAGAGGGGCATACCTAGATAAGTTCCCATATTATACGAGAGTTAAAATCTCATAGCAAAGTAGAGATCATTAGCGAAAGAATTCATAACATTATTTAAAAAGAAGACCTTGGTCTCACTAGAGTTATCGTTATGACCCGAAAAATAGTTGAACTGGTCAAGGATAGCTTTGGTAGACTCTCTTGATCTGAGGTCACCTTGTAGAATAAAAACATAGGAGGAATAATGGGGGATCACCACGAGATAAAATCATAGGTTCCCACAAACCAAGGTTCATGGCATAATGAATGTTGTGGCCAAGCCTTTCCATACATAGTTGTTAGACTATAGCTTACTGTGAACATGCATGTACTATAGCATGGCTAGTAGCAGTCAGTTAGTTTAGGCGCCAAAAGTTGTTAGGCTGTTATGGTTGTTAACTTTACACTAGCTATAAAGCTGGTATTCTTGTAAATGTAAAGCACGTGAATTCAATATACAGTTCATATTATACAGTTTCTCATTATGGTATCTTTCACCAATTGGTATTGGGTTTTTTGACTAAACTCTTGCTGCGCGATTCTTGCTGATATTTCATGGAGTCGTCCATAAGTACGGGCTTCTCTCACAAGAAAATTAGTGTTGTTCTTGATGAGATGAACTATCTTCTGTGGAAGCAGTAAATTCTGCTCACAGTAAGGGGTCACCGTCTTGAATGCCTGTTGACCAGAGCTCTACAATCACCTCCGGAGATGATTCTTGATGACACTGGTGCAATTCGTGTCAATGATGCGTTTGAGGACTTTGTTGCGCAGGATAGTGCACTTGCTTCGTGGCTTCTGTCAACCATTAGCCCTCATCTTCTTCCTCATTTTGTTGGTGCCGAATCTGCAGCTGTAGTATGGAGTGTTGTGCAATAACTCTTTGCGAGCAGATCCACGAAGGCTACTATGAGTTTGCACTGCAAGTTGCAGTCGCTTAGGAAGGGCAATGATAGTATGCGAGTGTATCTCACTCGTGTAAAAGAGGTATGTGATGCACTTACCTCATGTGGTAGTGTAGTATCACATGTTGGACATGTTGCCAGCATCTTGAAAGGACTGCCCAGGGAGTATCAACCGTTTATGGCGGTTATCACTACGATGAAGGAAACACTGTCCTTGGACAACCTTTACACCGTTCTTCTAGATGCTGAAGCACAGTTGGCTGGGTTAGATGAGCAGTTTGATTATGTTCCTATGGAAACCAATGTTGATGAGAGAGTAGAAGGTCATGATTCCTCTGCTAATGGACGGCGTGATTCTAAATCTTCACGCTCATCGTTTACAAACAGGACATGCGGCCGAGGTTGAGGGCGAACTAAGATTCAATGTCAGCTCTGTGGCAAACTCGGTCACTTGGTTGATCGATGTTGGCATCGTTATGATGAAGAGTTTATATGTGTTACATCTGAGCCTCAAGCTTCTAAAGGACAATTTGCCAATGCACATTACTCTGCTACTGAAACTTCAAACCTGGGTTGTGAATGTTGTAAAGGCTGTTCTCAGACAACAGGTCATTTGCAAGCTAATACGGTCTCTAGATCCAGTGATCATTAGGTGGTGGATTCTGGAGCTACACATCATATCACTCCAGATGCTGTGAATGTTTCGAACACTGCTGAGTTTAGAGGTCCAGGTAAACTTACTATTGGAAATGGAGTTTCTATTGATATTCATAACGTTGGTACTGCGATTGTTTCTTCTGCTTCTTCAAGAACTCTAATCTAGACTGAATTGTTACATGTGCCCCACATAACTAAGAATTTTCTTTCGGTCTCTAAGATTGCTAGGGAAAATAAAGTTTACCTTGAATTTCATACTGAGAAGTGCTTTGTTCGTGATGAATTCTCTAAGGCGATTCTTCTGCAAGGTGAAGAGAAAGGAGGACTTTATACGTTTTCTCTTAGTGATCTTAGTTCAGAAGGTTGTGGTGTTGCAGTTCATTTTACAACTACAGATGTGTCTCCGTCTAAACTATGGGATCGACGTTTAGGACATCCAGCAAGTTTTGCTTTAAGTAAAATTGCCAAAGAACATGATGTAAAACTTGATATTGATGTTAATAAAACGTGTGTGGCTTGCTTTATGGGCAAAAGTCATAAGCTACCTTTTACTTCATCCAACACTCAATACACTGCACCTTTTGAACTAGTATTTTCAGATTTATGGGGACCCCCTCACATTACCTCCAACGGTTTTCGCTATTATGTAACCTTTGTGGATGCCTTTGCCCGATTTACTTGGCTTTATCTATTGAAAGATAAAGCGCAAGATGCGTTTCACATGTTCCACAAACTGGTAGTAAACCAATTTGGCAGTTCAATCAAAGCCTTTCAGTCAGATTGGGGTGGTGAGTACAGAGTGTTTTCTGCGTTGCTTGCCAAGTCAGGGATTGTACATCGACTGACTTGTCCTCACACGTCTGAGCAGAACGGTGTCGTTGAGCGTAAGCATCACCATATTGTTGAATTAGGACTCGTTCTCCTGGCCCAGGCATCCATGCCTATGCAGTACTGATCATATGCAATTGTGACTGCTGTTCAGCTGATCAACCGTCTTCCTACAGTTGTGCTTAGATGAATGACTCCATATGAGAAGATG